AAAGGAAGATGGACACATAAGCTCATTCCAACGATAAGTGATTGGACCAACAGAAAGCATGGACAGGTGAACTACTATCTTACCCAGATGTTAACTGGACACGCCTGCTTCAGAGCATACCTTTTTAAGTTCAAACATGACGAAGACGACACGTGCCCAGCATGTGCAAATACAAAAGAAACGGTGGAACATGTGTTCTTTGATTGTCCGAGATATGAGAACCATCGCAGCTCCTTGGCAAGAGCAATCAGAGAACAGGTCACACCTGATAACATAATCCAACTGATGTTGAGATCAACAGAAATCTGGAACCTAGTGTGTGTATTTGCGAAAGAAATTATAGAAGAACAGAGAGATCTAAAAATGCAGTAAGAGATGAAAGCAATCGCTGAATCACCACCCTCCGAAATAATGCTTAAATGTGGTTCCGGAGGGATTTATGGTTAGAAGAGGCACGGTGTTAGGATGAGGTTTAGTACGTAGGCGCAAATACCAAGCAAAAGAGTAAGTCTTGGTTGCGAATCGTGCATGCTGGTAGTACGAGCTACCAGTATCTTTTGAAGGTTCCAAATCCCTTAGCTCGTATAGCTTAAAAAAAAAAAAAAAACGAACAGTTTTGTATACAAAACACTTTACACCATAAAGTGGTGAGAAGTATTAGGTACTTGAGCTTTGAAATTTCTCAAGATGTGTCCAGAATACCAAAAAGCTTTCTGCTTTATAAAAATCAAAAATTTTATTAAAGAAATTGACAAATCTGTCAAGTGCACAGAATAGGTCCGTAAGTATGCACAAGTATATTAATATAAGAATGTATTTATGATATTACATATAATAAATAAACACAATAAGGGAATAAACACTACACAATTCAAATTTTTATATGGGAAGCATTTCTTTACTGAAGACTGTTCAAAGATTGGTCGATTTATATGACCACTGCCACGTTTTATGACACAAAAATGGCGTTTGACAGCTTTTAGGCCAAAATGGAGTTTTCGGTTTAATTAGCTTTAGGGTGCTTTAAGTGGAACAGCATAACGTTGCGAGACTGATTTATTTCAATACGTTGGAAATATGCCATTCATAAAGTAACCGACTAAATGAACAAAAACCTGAATTAATTAAGTAGTGATCGATAATAGGGAATTTAATGAGAAATCGGTTGCGTTTATAGACCCCTTACTTTTGGTTTATCGTATTTGGATTCCTTAAGCCTTTTGACTAAAGCCCTTTTAAAACACTAATGTCTTATTAGCTGAAGTCTCGATTAGACTGTAACGGGCGGCTGTAGTAATCAGTTAAACAACCTCCTGACATACATCAGACCTGGCGCTTAATAGCTGACCCCATGAATGCAGATTTCGAGTTTCGCATTTTCTCCTTGGCAATGTATAACCATATGATCCTATAGTGACAATACATCTGAACTTTATTAAGCGTCACTGATTTGGAATTACCATAAATCTCTAATGAATAATCAAAAGAAGACAAAAAATAAAACTGACCAGTATCCTCTAAAACAGTTTCTGACTTCACAAACTTGCCACAGTCATCAACGGCGGCATCATGGTATTGTCTTATAAATGGAGCATATAAGTAGCTTTTCCTTGGGTTGGTACTTAGGCGTCAGACTGTAGTACTGACTCTCTTCACAATACGCCCAAATACAATACGACCAGATATGTAAAATTTTGTACTTTAAAACACCAGTTATATTTTAGAATCCCGCAGTCTAAGAGATACAGAATAAAGAGATCTACTTATAGGATTCCTATAAAAGTAGCAGTAGCAGTAGAAAACAATCGAATTAAAAATAACAACAAAACTTTAACCTTTGATAATTAAGAAAGGTGAAAATCGCTGTTATTAAAATCTTTATAAATGTTCGTAGGTAAAATTTTGCACGTTCTTTTCGTGATATTAGTTGGCGTCTGGACCATGTTAAGCTAGTTGCCATGCTTCGATCTACGCTTGGTCATGTTCAAAGTTAGTAAAGTTAAGTGGTCCTTCTGAAGCAGGTGTCCACTTAATTTCTACACCACTAACTGTTTTCTGATGACCGCTTCAATCCCAGGAATGTTGGAATCTATCCCGATATATAACAATCACCTATTATTAAGAGATTGGGAGCTGGTAAAGGTTAGTGATGCTAACAATCGTTTCAGATCGACTTTCATTATTTAAAATGAGAAATTTTTTTCTACCAAACATATAAGGCTATAGCCCCACTATCACCACATAAGGACGCCCGAAATAATGGCTTTAGTTTTGTTAAACGCAAATACACAACAGTACTCATTAATCAATTAGTAATCAATAAAATGGTGATCAAGTAAGTTCAGTTTTGTCTATATACGCTGAATTGGCTGCAATAATGCACAGTTGCCTTAGTTATTGCTATTTAATTTCATGACATTGATAAAGAATTAACAACCATTTGTAGCATTGTTAAGGTAACATAGAACTATGCGTTTGCATTTAGTATTTTGTGAAACTCTATGACAAAAGTATTGAAAATGACTTTGCTATATCTCGTATTAATATAATTTTTTATTTATTAAATTAATGTTAATTATATTTTCTATTTCAGTTAAGTTTCTTTGGTTTTGATTTAAAATAATTTAAGCTATATGAAAATAGTTTTGAATTCTATAGCAATAAAATAATATAAAATATTTCCAGAAATTATTAATGTTATATATGTATATAAAATTTTTCAAAAAAGATTTTGTTTGATTTCAGAAAAATAATAAAACATAAGGATTCATACTATATCGGAAATAATGCAGTAACGTTTTCGAGACGGAAAAAATTTATTAATTGGTTGTATGCAACTTGAATATATAAGCAGAACAAAAATTGTATGTGCATTGTTAGTATTAATTAATTATTCAAAATTTAATCAAATGGAAAAATTTGAGAAAACTTTTTATTTTTATACAACAGCGTGCAAAATATAAGCAAAAATTTTCTTATCTCTAAGCAAATTAATATATGTTTTCTTTATGTGGAGATGAGTATACACATTACAGCAGACAATCAGGCATGAAGAAACAGCATGTTGGTAATGAATAACTGCATCTACGCTTTCTAGGTAAGAACAACATTCAAAGTATCATATTATTTATATTTTCTTCGGATTTTACGATGTGAACAAGTAAACATTAGGACAGCGTGTTGTACACACAAACATAGGCTCAACATATTCTAACCATATATAGTTTGTATAAAAACCACAAGCACCCAGCAGTTTTTTAAATAGAATTCAATAAAAACATTTTAAAGTGTTTCTTTACAGTTTACATTTCATTTATATAATGAAAACAATAATAAATTGTATTATGGGATAGAAATGATGAAAATATCAAACTTTAATTATTTTAACATTAAGGGAATTTTTTTAAATCTTACCACTTAAAATTTTGCTGGGTTATTGCTGGTTCTTCAGAGTCTAGAGCAGAGCAAAGATTATGTGTGATTATAAACCAAAGAAGATAAACCAAAGATATTCTTGTTATAAACACTTTAGAGTTTAGCGATTGTCAAATATGTTTTGTGTTGGTTTTTTTAACACATTTTGTTATTGCATTTTTCCAATTAAATTAAATAAATAGGAAAGTAAAGAACAACACGTTTATTTATTAATTTATGGCACATATTTATTATTTCTGATTAGAAGTTTTCAAATTTATTTATTAAATATATTAAAAAATTTTCACAATGGTAACACCTAATTTACCCTACTCGATATTCTGGTAAATACCAACATTCGCTGCCACACCGACATAATTTACTATTTTCCTTAATTTATCATCAATTTACTCGAATTCGTACACGACGTAAAAATGTGGATGTTTATTTGCCTATGATGTGGTCATATTATTAATCATATTGCAATTCTGCGCTTTTAATAATAAATTACAAGAATTAATAATGTTAATGTTAATGTAATCTGTAACAAGTAATGAATGTTGAAAACGAATGCATAGGATAATATTGTGTATCACCTACAGAATTATGACCAATATACATTCATTTATGCAAATCAAAGTTATACGTCATTTACACTGGCCGAAAATAGCTCATTTTAGTCAAAAATCGCAAAAGGGGACGCGAATGGCTCATTCTTGCATATAAAATTTCAAGCGCGAATGAGCCATTCCATCACATTCTGTATGAATGCATCCCAACGACGTTCGCATGCGTTCCAAATATGTTGTAAATGCAAAGGAATACATTGAACATACCCTAAATAAAAGTTCTTCATGGCATTTTGACAGTTTAAGAATGCTGTTTTTGACATATTTATAAAAAAAGGTAAACAAATGTTTGGTGGTTGCATTTTCTTGAAAACGATGCACCTCATTCTAGAACTTTTAATTCCCAAAATGTAATTAATCGAAGTTAAAAATATGTTTTAAGTTTATATTGTAAGGTTTAAATGCCTATTTAATCTTCACGCAACATTTTTTTAAATCAACAGGCAAGTTGAAAAATCAGCTGTTTGAAATGAGAACAAACGAATTACAACAAATCTAAAGACTTTTAAATGGCTCATTCAAAATGAGCCATTTTCGGCCAATGTAAACGCCATATTAGATCCCTCCTATGCTTAGGGGAAAATGGGCAATTTACTAGGATGCAAACCACTTTCATTGCCATTATGCATGTTAGGTATTTATTAATATTAAAAATTTCGTGTATGCAATAACAAATATACATACATATGTGGGTTAAAATTATGGTTCTTCTTCATAAGATAATGCAGCATGTTTAATTGCCCACATGGTGAATTTCTTATAACTGCTCTGAATAAAATACTTGAAATTTTATGTGCGGAAAGCTGTTTTCAACAGATATCTGTACTATTTTATACAATACATTTATTTTTATAATATTCTCTGTTATCTTCTAAAAAAATTTGTCCTTAAAAATATATAAATTTTATTGGTAGGTTATATGTTTAATTCAAAATAAACAGAATATAAGCTTTTTACCTTGTTGGCACTGGTACTTCCGTGAGATCACCTATTATTGTAGCCTGAAAAATACAAACATTTGAATTAATTCAAAAATGTTTTACATAAAATCATCTACATACTTCCTTTAAACGTATAAATCCAGATAAAGGTTTTTCAAGAAAATCTACTTCACCAACCAAAATATTGCTTGCTTCTGCTCCAGGCGGTATTTTACGCATGAAGTGTGTATTGCCACGATGATCGCCTAACTCATGACTGCTAGAATTCCGTTGCATTGATTGATTGCTGGGACTTTTGATCATATCTTCTGTTAGTTATATACGTTAGTTACAATTTTGCGGCAGTTGTGTAGAATGACATTTTTCAATGTTAGAAAATTGAGCACAAAATTTTAGTCATTTTAATTGATATTTTTATGCAAAAATGGATATTATTTTTCGGAAAATGGAGGTGAAAAATGAGTTATATAAACAAGTCTTTTATACATAGTATTGTCCAAGCATTAAACACTAGCAAGTTTAATAAAAACATGCAAAACTAGCATTAATAATTTTCTAATAAACATCAAACAAATTAAGCTTGCAATATACCATATAAACATTATCTACAAGTGTTAATTATATATACATATACTATAACTAAAAAACAAGTACGTTTGCAAAATTTGAACAATCCAAGTATTTGATTCTTGGATATGTAGTTTTTTCTGAATTGGAATATATCAACTGAAATATGGTATTAAAATATTGTGATTTACATATATAAAGCAAACATATAACTCATCCAGTATACATGCTGGGTTTGGAGTTTTACAACCAAGAAGTATTAGTTTGATTTATGTGCAACTATTTTTGGGTGTATTTCTCCCATAATAACGTCGTCAGAACAACTGTATATAAGTCGTAAGTACTCATACAGTTGGAGAGTGCAATAGCCGTAAAAACCTATAAAATCTTACTTTTTGGAACTTGTACGTTTGTATTTCTCAACCCAGTAAAATAAATTTCACTACATTAACATGTGAAATTTACTTTAAAGGTGTTCATTACTTTTATGCTGTAGTCTATATAGTTATATTAACGCATGGAGATGTCGAAAACTAAATAAATTACTTTTATTTATAATCAGTTGAGTCAAATCTATGTATATAATGATTTATCTGTTTGTCATCTGTTATTTTGTGAATCTGTTTGCCTGTATATTGCGTTTTTTACTTGCTTAATGATAGAGTTCACTGTTCACTATCTTGCAGTTCAGGCACATCAATTATAACTTAAAACTGCCGTGCTTCTCTCAATGACCTAGCTAGGCTTGTTAAGGCTTAACTTATTTGGGTTTCTGATCATAGGGATATCTTGGACAATTGTAGGGCGGATGAACTTGTCAAGGCAGGGGCAATTCTCCCTGACATTCATTTCTCAGATATTGGCGTTCCACTTGGTACAGTTAAAGTGGCAAAGAAACAAAAATACTCGAGTATAGCCAAGCAATACTGTGCTGATGTACTCCATTGTCAGATATCTAGGTTGACTTGGTCTGATTTAGATAAGAAACGCACTAGTCAGATACTTCAACTAAGACGGAACCTGCTCAGCACCACGGTACCTGCGCTGACGGGCCACTGCAAAATAGGAAGGCATGTTGTAAGAGTAGGTCTATCCTTCAATGACTTTTATCGAGGCTGTGGTTCTGAAAAAGAGGAGGAGACCGTACTCAAACTCATGTGTTAGTGCCTTGATCAAACATCTTCGAAACCCTTTTTCTCACCGATCTGACCGAGCTATCATCCTGTAATATTAGGGACCTGACCAAATTAATAAAAATGTCAGGTTGATTTTCCTTTACTTAATGGGGGAGTTGTTACTTTTGTCGGCATTGGCTGTATACTGATTTTAATCTATGCTATTACTCTGGCGCCATAAAGGACCATTAATTTAACTCAAGTAGGCTTTTTGGAAACAAGGCCGCTACTCCAATCAACCTGTTTATCTATACTATTCCCTTATAAAAAAGTTTAATGCAATATTTGAATATTTGTATTTGGGTTGAATATATCACATTACATCCAAACAAAGGTTTAACAAGGATTAGTTTAATTAAGCCAGTCACAAATCAGTAAAAATTCTTGTCATAACCGAGATGAGTCGACAACTTCGTAATCAATGAGGTTAGACAATTTTCGATATTTTTTTTCTGAATATGTTGGAATGACTTAGAAATTGAATTAATATTAATGCCGATATCATAATATTTATAATCTGATGCTGATTTAATTTCCAATCTTTAATTGTTGGTATGTAATTTCTTGGATGTAATTCGAAACAGCTGGTTGGAATTATTGTTGACTTTATCAAGCGATTTAGGTGAATAAATTTGACTTATTTTTGCCAACATAGCAGGGTTGCATTTTATACCGTGCATCTTCAATATGCTTTTAGACAATGTATCAATTAATTTTTTTTGAAGTTTTTGAATTTAAAACTTTTTTGAATTGTTTGAAAAAGTTTTTAAGCGGAACTCTGTTGCAAACTTAATTAAAATTTAAGTTTAGTTATATATTCCGGCCAGTTCATAACAGTTAAATGTATTAATTGTGTTGCAATATATAATGTGATCTATTACATTTCACTATTTTTCTTGATAAATGAATAAATAGAAGTCAGAATTATAGTTTTGTCCGTTGAATAAATTTAAAATAGAATAATAAATAAACCAAGCATTGTTCATGCAGTAAATAAATATATGACCCGTTGGTCAATAAAACAGGAACATAACGCATGTTTATAGAATCAAATTAAAGCGGAATAAAAAAAACTTACAAGACTAATTGGAAAGTTTTACAATTTTGCTTTCATGCAGTTAAGAAATACATATGTATATGAACCGTTGCTCAGTGGAATAAGTACATTTTACACAATATATGTATGTACAATGTACATATGAGGTAATAAGAGTTTTAAAAGAACGCAAGAGCTCATCACCTTTTATATATAATTTTGAATTGGATTACGTTAGGCTTAACATTTTATTTTGTTGAAAGTAAAGTGAAGCTATAACATAGGGAAAGCTCTACAGACAGTTGTGGTACGGTTTACTAAGTTAAGTAAAAACTGACGTTTATTTGTTATTTCGCTCAAAGTTTTTTTAGTATTCTCTGTTATGTACATAAACGGAGTTTATCGTGCGGATAATCGGATCTGCTGCCATACTCAAGCATAACCGCAACAAACCACAGTACCTTACCACACAGATATGTGCCCGTCTTTATTCCACTTTCCCTTGCAACGACTCATATTGCATATTGGTTTTTTTGTGATAAATTTAAACTGTTTAAAATTATTTAAACACAAAAGATTCTTCTTTATTTTAATTTAAATTGCAAGAAAGTTAATATGTTTTTACCATTTGGCAAGAAAACTGTTTTTCCTGGTACAGTTAGAAAAGGTCCACTGTTGTCATCATTGCGATTCGCGTTATGAGATGTTATGTTAAGTTGATGCATTTGCGCTGGTAATGAGCTGTGTTCTTCCACTAAAAAGTATTTGAATCGGTAAATGATTGGAATTATTATTTAACTTAAGCTCCGTCAATAAAAACAATTGTTTTTGTTTCATTTAAGTAAAGAAAACTTGGCTTTAATATAGTCAGTGTTACTAAATTAAAATAATTTACTAAAAATATTATCGGGGGTTTTTTAGTTGCATGACAACTATCAATATCAATAACTGTGGTTTAATAGCTGAGAATGTCAAACTGTGTTGACATTTCTGTACAGTAAAGTTTGGCAATTCATCATGAGTTGTTTAACGCTAGAACAACGCTTCGAAATTACGGAAATTTACTTTGAAAAAATCTGTTCGCTTAGTTCATAGAGCACTCCGTCCATTTTACGGTTAACATAATTGGCCTGGATTGCTACGTCAATAAGCGAAATCGCCGTATGTGGAGCGAAGATAGTCCTCAAGCTGTTACACTACCTAATGATGAATCTATTAAAATTGATTGTTTGGTGCGGTTTACATGCTGGCGACATCATCGGTTCTTACTTTTTTTGAAATGAGAAAGGAGCTGCCGTTACGGTGAATACAGAGCGCTATCAAGCCATGCTAACTGTTTCCGAATTTTTGTCAACAATTTCGAAAAATTAATCAGTTAAACCTCGACGACATGTAGCATTTGGTTTCAACAAGACGGCGCAAGATGCAACTTGCCATACAGCGCGCTTAACAAACTCTATTTCCAAATGTGGCCCTGTTAACTGTCCTCCTCGTTCGTGTGATTTAACACATGTTGATTGCTTTTTATAGGACTATGTTAAGTTATTGGTTTATTCCGACCAGCAATAACCACAATAACCATTAATGCCATGGCGGACATATGTCGGAAATCATATTCAAAAAATAAATGCCATGAAATTATTAACTAAAATAAAATAAAAAAAATTTATTCCAACAATATTTCTGTCTTGTATTCTCATTTTAAGTTCTCATGCAGCTAATAAAATAGTTGATATATGCCATGCAATATATTATTTTTTTAAGATTCAATTTTGTTTATGATGTAATATACCAAGTAAGTTCAAAGATGTGCGCAATGATGTTTCTGCTTGCGAGATGTGATTTGCGCTAAACACTTACTTAACTGCCTCTTATAATCCCTTTCTGAGTCTCGTCGTAATCTAGAATTCCACTGCAGTCTTCTTTTCTTTAAAAGTTGAATATCTTCTACACGATCTTCACCTTATGTCTTTTTCATCCCATTGCCAATACACATTTTTTTGTTATTGAAGCAATGTCTTCTGTTCTTACGATATAAACAATCCATTAAAGCTATTGAATGGTTATTTGAGAAACTTCGTCAATGTCGTGATAAAGATCGTGTTTATTTCGGATAGACGAACTATCCTTAATTCTTACAGGAGCAAAGATCTTAAAAAAAATTTTCTTTTCAAGTATGCCTAGTGCTGCTACATGTTTTCATAATACAAATTTTTGTTCTGTGTCATACAGAAGTACACATTAGTGGCGCGATCTACAGCGCTTAAACTTTGTCAGCAATAGGTTTGTGTAACAGGGCACTGTTCAGTTATAGTTCTAGTACGTTTTCGAACTACAGATTTGTTTAATCTAAAAGATCTTTCTTAGCGACCATGAAGTCCCAGAGGCTACGCAATTGGTTTATAATGTATACGTTCCTACAGTGATGAATTTATATTCTTAAACCGTTCATACATCGGAGTTCAATTTTTTGGTGACAGCGGTAAAACATTCTCGGTATTCCATCGCATTAGCTGCATATTTTTAGATTATACATCTACTTCTGCACGTCTGTACCATTTTTTCTTATAGTCAAAATGTTAGATTTGAAGTTCAGAATCAGCCTTGATTAGATCATCACTCTTTCTCCTATTTTTTGATTTCAATCCCATAATCAAAAATCAGATTTGGTGGTATAGTCCTGAACGAAGACCCGTAGCGTTAAGAAATGAATTAACGTATTTAGGTCTTTTGAGGTGCATTTACTGCAGTACTAAGTACCTTTCGTTTCCTTCTATGCCCTTATGGCTAGGTACTGATTAATTATTAAAGTCAAAAACAGTGAAAAAAATTTGCATAAATAGGCAAGTGACTAAAGATCCCATCAACCAACACCCTCCCAACCATGCTGTTTGAGACCATGAGGCATAAGCCCTTCCAATTCCTTGTCAACTATCTTGAAGAAGAGCTTACTCTTTCGGAACTCTACAACCGAAGCTTTCAAAATCCCGATCGTAGAGTTACTCTTAGTTAGACTCTCATGCAAGTTTGCGTAAATTTCGCCCCCTTCAGTTATAATCTCATCGCCCCTAACTGAATACGTCTATCTATCTCCGGCTTTGATAAATTTATTTATATTAATTTATTTATATTAATATTAATTTATATTAAGTATGTTAATATATTTATTTTTAAATTAGAAATTTTAGAGAAAAACGATGAACATCTAAAAGCTCAGATTTATTGACGTTAACTTCATTCTGAAAATAATGCATTAGTAGCACTTCTTGTACTGTTTTACTTTAATTTAAAATACTTTTCAATATTTACTTTCTGACATCATTTTGATTTTTTAAAGCTATCTAACCTACGTTGTGTTTTTTAACTTAAAACTATCAAACTAAGAACTTTATCACAGTGAGGCCTAGCAATGAAACCAAAAACTTAAGATACATTTGTACATTCCTAAAGTTGCACAAGATCTTAATCGACTACACAGCAACAAAAGAACTAAGTAACTATTCTGAAAGATATATAGAGCAAAACACAAAAAAAAACAGACGTATTATAATTCTGGACGATCTGACCAGACCACGTTCCGATAAAAGGAAATCCAAAATTATCATTGAGATACCTCGTAGAGATATCAGACTTCTGGTAGGTTTACTTACAGATCACTGTTAACTAGGGAACTATTCTAGAAGATTAGGTCTCCCTTTTAATCAAATCTGTCGCAGCTGTGGAGAAGACGACGAGAGTGCCTCGTATCTATTATGTTTTTTATGTACGGCGGCGTCGTAATACCTTAGAAGCCCCTTTTCTTGAAGATCTTGATCAATTACAGGACCTGACACTAAATAGCATTTTAGGTTTTGCCAAAAGTTCTAGATGGTTATGAATCCTGAGTTTTTTCTATATATAGGTATACGGTAACACAATGCGTCAATAGGCCTTAGTGAAACCCCTACGGATCGCCGATATAACCTAACCTAATCTAGCATTCTGCATTAGTTGCATCCATGGATAATATGTTTTTTTTACAAAATAAATTTTTTTAAGTGGACACAAAGAATATTTTAACACAAAAAATTTTTTGAGGTGGTGTAATTAATAAATAATCAGGGGCGTAAAGTACACATGCTTCAGTTTGAAAGTACTGCCGGAAAAGTTTCCATTGGAGAGTGCAATGTAAATGCATTGTTTTTAGTGCAGAACTAAAAAGTGCAATAATTTACGATATTAAAAAGATGAGGTAGTGCGAACAATCAACAAAAGAAATGTGATAGGTGGTGGTGTCAAAACGAAATTGTTATTTTGAATATGTGAAAATATTTGATATCGCTGCATAAAGTATATGAAGACATCATTAGATTGTGCATCATTATTTCTAGATAAAATATATATACATATATCTTGACATGAAAATGTTTAATTAATAAATGAAATTAAAAATTAAAAAATAATTTAAAAAATTTCGAGACCGTGAAGTCAAAAATCCTATAACTTTAACTTGTAATAATAGTAGTTGAAGCTTGAAAACCACATAAGTGGTTACCTGGTGCAAACCAGTTAACTGGAGTCATAATTTTAACACTCGGAGTACACTCATAAATGCATAAAATATAAATAAATGTATATAAGTATAAATGTGTATAAATATAATTTTCTCCTACGCTACTTAAACACATTTACATTAATCACAGAAACGATTAACTAGTGCCGATGCTAACAAATCAGGGTCACAGGAGTGCGTGCAACTTTCTAAGTAGAGTAGCAGACATAAAAAAGACGCATAAGTTAAATATGTACTCGAGTAGTATGAATCAATGAGTGCACTCATCAAAAATGAATGGAAGTAATGACTGCCGATCTGGTCAGTTTTGGAGCGCCTGTAGAGTTTGTAGCAGCGCTCTTATGTATGTTTTTTTTTATGTTTGGTGTCATGTGTTTGTCTTCTTAAATATTATGTGTGCATTAAATTAGGGGTCGTTTTTGTTCGAAATCATATATACAGTAAACAATAGCTAACAAATTTTTGCTGAACGTATCTTAATACTCATGAATGACTCATAAACCACTTGCATTTTATTTGTGTTGACTGTAAGTGTTAATGAGTACCATATGAGAGGAGTATACATTAGTATAAGTATTTTCAATTTTATGTATGATTTCGGTGGAATTAAGTACACAGAAAAGAGAGTCAGAGTGAATATAAGTAGAACACAGTCAATGTCTTAAGTATAACTTGAGCGTTGAGTAGGTCATTGTAGTTCTCTGGTAACACTCTTATGGGCAAAAAAGTAATATTGCAAATGTATGTGGAAATTTGAAGAGATATGATCATACGTTCCTACCCCTCAGTTTTATCAGAAACTAGTTACATGCGTCAAATTGCCACTAGTGTAAATAACACGAAATAGTCGCACCGTAACAATTTTCATTGAATATGTTCTCCGTTCAAGTTCGACATTAAATTGAATCATGAAGTCTTGGGTTTCAAAAGTAACTCGCTGAATATTTTTTAATTTACCTGTGTTATAAATTAAATTTATATATAATATATATATATATATTATTATTATATATTATATTATTATATATTATATATAATAATTAACTTCTCTGCTAATTTCAGTGTTTATTTACAATTATTTATGCACATACATACAAACATTTAGATATATTTATTAGAGTACAAGGTCAAGGTTCGAGTATTCACTCAGTTAAAGTTTCATAATCGTCAAAATTACGTTCAAAAAACATAGTACCTATATTGCAAGAAGTATTAAGAGAAAAAAATAAAAAAATAGATGAGGTAGTAATTTTGATATTAAAACTTAATGTCAAACGATGTCTGAGAAAGAATTGACTATATATATGTTGAAACATCAAACTCCGACTGTATAGGCTCAGTTTTTGGTACGTACCGTAAGAACTTAAGTAAACTTAAGCCAAAGCAAAATGCAAAACCAACTACTTCTGTGTATTTGATAGAAACGAAATAAACCAAGTTCCTTGCTTTTGTTTATTTCATTCCTTTCAAATACACAGGTGTGGTTGGTTGCGTATTTCGCTTTGACTTGAGATCTTACGGTACGTACAGACTAACTGAGCCTTTAAGATTGTATAACAAAATAAATCAATAAAAATATATAATAAATAAAAATAAATATTTAAATAAATAAAAAAATAAATATTGTTGATGTGCACTCAACCAACAATAGCTTTTACATATCAACAAAGAGACAACGATCGGTGCATATAAAGATATAATTTGCTAAAAACATCACTTCACAGCAAAATGGGGAACCACACGCTACATAAAAATGGTACTTAGATATCTTTTAATTTAAATTTTTATCGCTTTAACCAGCTTTTATCAATATTCTATTATAAAATATTATTAAATAATCACCAGAGTTACCATTTACAGAAACTTATATAAAGATGTTTAATCAATTTTGGAGCGGATTGAAATTAATATAATTATTAAATTTTTATAAGTCAGTCGATTTCGTAAATTTTTTTTTAGCTGTCGTACACTGTTTAACCTTAAATAGTTTAAGGGACATTCATTAGTAACCTTAATAATCTAATGAAAATAAGAGTGAATTGAACTCAGACAAAAATTTCGAAAACAGTTTAATGTTAAGGGATCTTCTGTGTGCACACCTAGCGAACAACGGGGAACCCACTTTCCAATATATAAGAGTAATGCAGGGAAATCAAATCCACTGTTTCAGTATGTAAATCATAACAAGTATGTAATTCGCCTGATTTTAGCTATTATGTTGGAAAAAGCAAGAGGCTAAATATGTATAGTTATATACCATTTCGTTAGTGCAAAATAAGATTCGTTATTGTAGCCAGCGAAACTCTAAATTTTGGTCTAACTTCTACTAAGGAAATCTTTAATAATACTAGCAAACTTACTTGTCTAACCCGATGAAGAGGAAAAACTTAGAAAAGGAGTGGTCGCAATACCACAATTATTCAGTCAAAGGTAGTGCAACGCTAATCAAAGATGTTAGTAAATAGACGTTACAAGAAAGGCGGATTTTATTACTATTGTAGCTGAATATGAGAAAATAGTTGCGAAAATGGAATGGAAAATTAATTATATAACGTTTCTAGGAATTACTCCTACCACAATAGGTGATATTATGCAAAGAACTTTAGCTTGCTGAAAGGCTTAGATTATAAGTAATTTTCTTCCACGAGAAGTACATCAGTTAATATCATCTAAAAGAAATTGAATTAAGAAGATTGAAGCTTAGAATGTCATCTCTAACTGCTGCTTGTGCGATGTAAAGATACGGAATATTTGGGAGAACTTCTGTATGTGAAGTAAATACACTTATTAACTTCGAATTTATGTTTTGAAAGCAATATTAAGAAACTATTTCTATCAAGAAATCAGAGTATGTTAAACCTTTTAAGCAAATTGTGATGTTTCAATATTACAGAACGCCTATGAAAATTTTAGTTTTTCAAAGAAAGTTCTCAGAAAATAGTAAAGCATATTGGTTTATTGACAGTCAATTGGAAATTAAAATATATCAATCTTTTAAATCACAGATAATTAAAAATTGTAGAACGAGTGTCTGCAGGCTGATCTAGTTGCTAGTCATAGAAACATTAAAGGGATAGGAAAAGCATTCAGCTTAATTTACCTTTATTTGTCTATTGAAGTCGTTATTTCTTCATCTACCTAAATATTGGTAAAATCACTCACAACACGTAAAATCCTTTTTTAATAGTTAGACGGACTGCACATCGGGAAGTGCAAAAAAATGTCTAAAACTATGTAAACTTAACAAGATGTCCACGATGTCCACGTGCTATTGGGCAACCCTATCTGTTGCAATTTATCGCAAAAGCACACTGTCTTTCCAACGAAACTAATTTCATGAAAATTCTTACCTAACTACATGTTTCAGTGAATTTGGGCGAATTTTTTTCCCATTTCGGCTTTATTTTAAATTTTTTGTTGAGATATTTGTGTTCACCAGTCGAAAAAACAATACATGAACAAAGAGCGAATAAGAAATTCTGTGTTAAATTGGGTAAAAGTGAGGCATAACCGTAGAAAATATAGAATGAAAAAAAATGTGTATGGGAACGAATGCATGTCCTGTACAACAGGTTTCCGCAGAATATTATCGGGGATGGTGAAACATAGTTCGACGATTCTACCGGAATGCTGGACAGTTGAGTTTTGTTGCACTATATTGCAATATCACAGAAATTTTTAGTAGCATCGTTAATTGTTAAACAAAAAAATAATCTTTCTTAAACTGAAATTGACGATGAGAAGAAATCATTTCGATACTATCATATATATATATATATATATGCGTATATATGTATTATATAGACTATTATATTATATTATTATTGATATAATGCGCGGAACATATTAAATGCTTTCCAAAGAAGCGCTTAAGGTGCTCACAACATAAGGTGAACTGGAAGTGCTTGCATAAAGAATTTGGTATGTAATTTCAAATTATTAATGGTATGCATTACTAATTATATTGTTTTATTAAACTTAGCTTAAATAAAAAACTACTTTAATGAATACAGAAAAAGCAAATTGCGATGATTTCCGAAATACTAAAATAGTTTTGTCACATGTTCTATTATCAACATACGAGCATCTAAAACATTGCTTTAGCGGATCTATTCTCGTTTTTCTATAACAGCAGCAACTTTGGTGTTCCCAAATGCTATTAAAAAATTCTCTGCTATGCTATTTTACCTCTCATGGTGAAAATGAATTTAAATTCACCACGAGCAAGTGTTTCTCTTTATTTATTATTGCAAACGTAAAACCATTTATGAAAATATTCCATTTATGAAAATTTATATAATTCAACATTTTTTATTTCTTCTTAACATTTTAACATTCTTATTTTTGGAAAACATGAGATATGGTTTCATTTTTTGCAATTAGATCAATTTTTCTATAAAAACATAGCACATGGCCACCTTAGAGATAAAATAAATTCAAAACGAATTCATTTTGAAAGTGAAAAGTTGTAAATAATTTGAAATATTATTAAAACTATTTTGCAAATATTTACAAATATAAATTATTTCACTTACTTAATAATTTCGAATCAACCAATTAACAACATTGAATTCTTTAACAATTTCGATAGAATAACCTTTTTATTGGTTCTTACTTTTTCATTTACAGCATTTACAGACAACAACATAAGTTAACAGTGTTATATTATGTTACCACTGCAGCTAAAACTACTCATGTTAATGAAATCAAGATTTGGTCATTTACATTGGGATAAGCTGATTTATGCATGCGAAATAGCTTTTTTGTTTACATTTTATATGTATAACAGATGACATTTTTTACCCTAAATGAGTTGATTTAATTATAATGACCTCATTTATATAATATGAAAGTTTTTTATATGGTGAATTATCCTAATTGGCGGCCCAAATGAGCAAAACTGTCTAAATGAGACAGTGGAAACATAGTATTAGCGTAATAGTTTTTGCTACTGTTCGAGACACCAAATTATAAGCATGTTACAACGTTACTGTGCGAGAATAGCCCCGTAAGTGCTTTTAATAAATGTGCTTTATAAAAATGTCTTTTGGTTGTGAGGTTTAATAATTTCATGTTAGTTGAGTGTTTATAATTGTGCAATTTTGTTTTAGATAGTATCATAATACCTGTTGGAATGGCGAGGTAATTGCCTCGCTGATCTTTATTCGGGATGTGCAAGTTAGCTGAATCTAATCCAATTGACGATGATGCATTTGCATGCAGTGAAAACGTTGACTTATGGGTTTGTTGTTGTAGGTCTATTATATCGCAATTTGATTTCGTATGCATAATAAAAGAATTAAAGATATTTATTTTAATTTTAGTAAAAATACTTAGATCTTCTTATGTCTTAGAAATCAGTTGAACGACATAAGCTGGATTTGTTAAAATTGAATTTTCTTTTTTTTTCTATCCACCTTTCTCAAATAATTCAATAAGAGATAAAATATTTATTTTTGAAATATTTTTTTTTTGAAATGTTCAAACGAACGCCATTAATTATAATGCAAATTTTATGTGAACACAATAATAATGCACTAATAAGGTTTCAAATGTGATGATAACTCAAATAATATAATAAAAACATATTATGCATATTTTGTAACACAAAAAAGGAAAAAAAATTTTCCTAAATAACGAATTTAAAAACTTACTCTTCGCCGATGAGCTATTTCTTCCAACCTCGGTTAAAGAACGTATAATTGGCAGACGAGTTTTTTTATTATATTCATGCTGATGTCGATGGCGACATAACAAGGCTTCTCTTACTTTATGACATGATTCAATTGGTAGTTTACCAGTATTGACCATGTTTTCACAAATCAAGTCTGCGATAACTTCCAAATTATTTGCTTCCATATCCAACAAAACCGATCCCTTTATTAGGAGATTTCGTAGCTCAAATAAGGAATGCAATGAAAGTGTTGCTACGTGGGGTTTTGACCAACGGTTGCCTCCCTCTTCAACATCTTCTTCAAATTTTATCCAACGTGCAGCTTCTTTCCATTCAAAATCATCCCCATCCTTTACTAATATTCCCATTTCGGAGAAAAGTGGATGTGAGATATGTGCTTCATCATCGACATCTTCACCAAGCATAAACTGGACTCTTTGCGCAGGCGGGGTAGCTAAAATTATAAAAAAATATGTCCAATTTATTAGAATTAATCATTTGAAATAGCAAAACTAGGTAGAATTTTGATTTGTTTACGTGCAGAATTACAATTTTATCGATTTTCTGATTATGAGATACATTAGACATCACTGAAAGTTACAGAATAAAAAATTCAATCAATGATGTAATGAAAAATAGAGAGGACTGAATAGCTTGGGTTCCTTGGGAGAATATTTTATTGTGACACTTTATCTATTACTGCGGTTGTTTGTTTAGACACGATATCCCAAATCATACAGGTTAACGTTCTGGATATTGGGTCTGTATGGACACAGCACAATTAAAGATAAATAAATATAGGCTGATTTAAGATTATTTACAGTCTACACAGAATGAATTCTGAACTTCAGAACTAAAATTCTTGCTCTTTATGCACCCAGGGAAGCTGCACGTCAGAACTCGTGACATGTTATTTCCAAACTTCTGTGTACAGATATACATGCCGCAAAGATAGAGAAAAGTATAGGAGTGGGAACAGGCTATCGAAGAACTTGCAGGTAAGGCATTTACATTGTTTTGATTCTAATAGTGTTTTTCAAACTGAGTTATATGCAAGCAAAAACACTGTGGCTAATACAGATTAGTACCATTCGACAACTGAATATTACTATTCATGTAGATGGTCAGGCAGAAATGTAAGCAATTAACATTCTGTTCTGTTTTAACATTGTCACGCTAAAAATTTTTATATTTTATATTCATTTGTTGTGAAGTGGTTACCAGGTCTATGCGATTTTTTATAGCGTAACGGAAAAATTCGTGCCTATGCGGACAGCCCTGAAATTCGCGACTTTTCAAACACAAGCATCAGTGAAGTTATAAACAGCTATATGCTTGTAAGTTATCCAGAATTACTTTTAAAGAAGATATGACTTGTGGACGGTATTTAAATTATATCGTTTTTCAAGAACACGGTGCAAATAATATACTGAAATGAAAACTTAATCAAAAACTTAATTATAAGCAATGAATTATCATGTTGTATCGTGATATCGAGGATCGTATCTATTGCAAAATTCTAGCTTTTGCAAAATGTAGGATAAGTTAGTCTGAAATTAATCGGATATTTTTTTCGGGTTATATTAACTGAGAATTTAAAATCTGAGGATGAAACTTGAGGACGAGGATGACCGAAAAAATCGATGGTGTATCTATCTGACAAGTCCAAATAATTTTATTGTATAATTAAACACATTTTTCGTTCTCTTTTGAGTTTTAGTACTAACATATATCAAAAATTTGTACCTTTGTGCTGGTTTGCATTTTTTTCATGTAATTTCAGTATAAATTCCGCATTTTACTTATGATATTATTTTAAAGTATTATATATAATATATATATATTAAAAAAGTCAAACTCTTTTTAATAATAATAATTAAAAATAATTATACCTGTTCGTTCCACATCTGAAGTTATATCTCCATTGTCCTTACTGTGATGATGTTTTCGCCGACGTTGCGAATGACGTCTTACACTAGGAACATGAACTCCTACGTATACGTTATGTGCTCGGTGTCCTGAAAAATAATTGGGCAAAATAAATTATTAAATTAAGACCATAACTATTATAAATTTCGATTTTAGATGTTTTCTCAAATTAAAGTATTTTTAAAGAAATGTCTTAGTGTGTTTAAATCTTGAGAGCTTTAGTAATCTGGTATCAAATGACAGTCACTGCACAGACCATTATGACGTAGTACGAAATCTATTTCTATAGTATCGCATAACCTTAGCTTTAACCCACTGCAAATTCAAGCAAACTCAGATTTAAGCTATAACACTAAAAGACAAAAAAATAAAAACAAAATCAAATTTTTTGGTCAGAAAAAAATTTTTTGGTCAAAATTTTCGAATGCCAAAACGGACATAATTGGCAGTCATTACTTTCATTCATTTTTGATGACTGGACTACTGGACTACTGGATGACTGGACTACTCAAGTGATTCATATCACTTGAGTAGGTATATGCTATGGCTTATGCGTCTTCTGCTATGTATGTTACGCTACTATACCATTATTCACTAGTACTGGCACTCGTTAACGAAAATACTTATGAATCATTTCTGTGGTGAAGATAAGTACTTATAAGTTGCGTATGAAAAAAACCTTTATACGCATTTATACTTGATTTTGACGTGTACACTGAGTCTTAAAATTATGATTCGCTGTAGTTCTCTGAAGTTATAACTTTATTGTGATCCTTGACAAACATATGGTACATATCGTTTGTATAAAAACATCAGAGAGATAGGCATTTATAGTATTAAAATCAAAAGAAAAGTTTTCATGATGTTATTTACTATTATATTATTATTGCTACAAATGTTAACATTACCTTCAAAATCATTTTCAGTGAACTGCTGCGTAAAATCTTCGTCACATATTCTAGGATCCTTTGAGGCTTCATCTATTCCCAGCGAGGAATGCATACTCCACGGTCTGTAAAACAAATTTGCATTATTGAATAAATAAAATTTAAATCTAGAAACAGTCTAGAAACAACTTATTAAATAATTTTCTTTATTAGATTATTTTATTTTATGTTCAAATTAAGAACACTTAATTAAAATAAGTAATTATATAATTACATATTACGTATAAAATTACATATAAAAATAATTGTAACAAATACACACATGCAAATTGTTACTAAGTTCTTTCTGTTTTGAAACTTTTAATAAAAGATGAGAAAACTTAATGATGTGCAGGCTTCTGTAAGAAATCTGGTCACTTTCTGCTAAAAGGAAATACAAAATTCTCAGCGATATCAGTCGTTTGGTAGGTTTTCTTACAGATCACTGCAAACTAAGGAACCATGCTAGAATATTAAATGGCCCTTTCAATCATACATGCGGAGAAGACGATGAGAGTGCCTCTCATCTATTATGTCTTTGCCCAGTTTATGCACGGTGGGTATTAAACACTTCAGGAACCAATTTGTTTGAGGATCTTCATCAATTACAAGATCTGATACTAAACAGCATTTTGAGCTTCGCTAAAGGTTCTAGGTGGTTTTAAACCTTGAGTTATTCCTATAAAAACTGTAACACAATGGGCCAATAGGCTTAAGTGGATCACCTAGGGATCACCGGTATCTCGCTATTATAAAATTTCAGTTTCGTTATTTCGAATGCATATTCTTTGCAACCAGTAGCGAGGCGTCAGCTTTTTGGCAAGGTGTTCACAATTTGATCAAAACAGAATTCCAACTATAACGTATTCTCCCTACTTCTGAGTTTTGTCCTTTCCACAAGCAAATAGAATACAAGACCACAGATTTCGACATTTTTACATCAGGTACCAAATTCTTCATATCTGGAGTTGGTCTATTCATTTTATGAATTAAAACCTTTTTTCAGAAGATCGTTTAAAAAAAGATATTTGAATCAAATCTTAAATCACACATTAATTCATTTCTAAATATTATTTTTCACTTCAAATTTCTTTAATTTTTTTCTTTACTTTTACCATTTGCTAGTATAAAATTGCAATAATGAGAGTAAGAAACTCTCATGCATTCATATACTCTTTTACTTTGTATTTACTATGCGCGGTTCAGTTTTTTTACTGAACCATTTGCCCACATAAAACAGCAACCGTAACTTTGATTGTATTTGCACGCTTTGTATGAACTTCGGGTTCAGTTTAGTTGACTGAACCTCTAGTCAAATGTAAAGCGATTTTCGCTTAGTCATTTCTTTTCTCTTTTGTATTTATTTTGCATAACATTAGAGGTTGCACGCATTAATTTAAGAGTTATGATTATTTTACGTACATATTTTGCGGGACTTGTTTTCTCTTTTATTTTTATATTTGTTTGTCTGTTTTGTGTTTATTCAATATTGAACATAGTCCCAATGTGAATGTTATTTCATTTGCATGCTTTGTAAGCAGCGCGGTGGAGTTTTTATTCTGAACCTTAGTATATTTTAAGAGGAATGTGCTTTCTCTTTTATTAATTATCAGTAATGTTGGATGTAACTAACATATATATGTGTGATTTTGTTTGTATTGTACGTTTTGCGTTTATGTTAATCTGTTTAGAAAAGCTATTATAAAAAATGTTAAGTAGCAACATAGCGAAATTATTTACCTAATAAAAAAAAAAGATCTAAAAAGGAAGCTTTGTTAAGGTGTTCAGTGAACACTCTGAACCATTCGACGCCTCGCCTCTGTTTGCAACATTTATTATTTAGAGGTAACATTTTAGGTATGTTTGTTATCTATAAACATTTGATCGTTCGTTATTGAGAGGGTGCGTAATATCGGGAATTAGTTAAACAGAGAGTGTATAAACAAGTTCATTATAAATGGGCAAGTAGTAAGTGTCGACTAGTCGCACACAATATAGTGCCAGATGGTGACACTCCCTTTCAGGATTACTTAGATAGTATAAAATAAATAAAAAAAAACTGTAAAGATCTCCAATCAGTTTTCCTATTCAGTTGGTTTCCTTATATGACTTGAAGACGTGTTAAATATATGTCAGTTATTCAAAACATTCAGAATACCAAACAAATTTTTCTCATATTACTCTCAAGTACTTGAGGTGTTCATGCATGTAGAATTTTTACGCATCAGTCCATAAACGTTATTACAAAAACTATATCAGCTGTTATAATTCTGTAGACTAGAATTTTATTGTGAAATGAATACACGCCAGTATTGTTCGTCTATAGAATTTTCTCGTCAGTATGAGATGAGGTTGTTCGGCTGATTATTTGGCCTGCACTATCATCCACACAATAGTGATGTTTTTAGGGAGACAAAATATTGACTATGTCTGATTATGCAGATGAGACCTCTATGTTAGTCACATTGTTGATCAGAGTCAGAGGGAGATTTATGAGTCAAGCGTTCCTACTCTTCTCTGATATTAAGATATCCTCAATATTAATGTTTTATAGTGGCTCATACTGTCTTCTGTGAGGTTACGCTCGATTAGCACAACATAAGATCTGTAATGGTGGTAGTGCTCTGCTTTGTTGTGAACCAGTGTGCCGTTTATACCTATCTAATCTATTATATAGAGTTCTGCAGATTTTGTTTTGCATTTTCTTGGCTTTCTGCAATATTTGACTACTCCTTACAATGAATTATGCCTTCCTTATATATAATAGCACATGTGCAGCATTTTGTGGTTCGTTAATTTGGATATTCATAATATTGCATGACTATTGTGTTTATATGATATTCACTTAAAAATTGGACTGAAGACATTTGATCTTAAATATGTTCTAATTATGTATAATAATCTTCCCAACATGTTTAATTTAAATATGTAGTAAGTTTTAAAGAATGACAAAAGTGTTATGACAGTTTAATCCAGCAATTATAATATGTGTTTTTCGAAATATATACTTTCTGTTTCAAAATCTCTTATACGAGTGCTATCTTTAACAAAAATTTAAGTATTTCAATGACAAAACTACATTTTATGTATTATCGCCGAATATTGAGAAATGGGATCTTAATTGCAAGTAGCCAACAATAAAATTACAGATAAGAAATTTAAAAATGAGTTTAATCAAAAATTTATGACATGTAATAAAACTATGTTAAGGCGAACGAAAATTGTATTTAAGTTAATCACTTAATTTTTAAGCAGTTATTTGTGGTTTAATTTGGTTTAATTAGTTCATCTCATTCTTAATTACACTCATATGTGTACGCCAAACATACTTATGTATATATAAATTGCTTCAGAGTTATATTGCAAAATTATTAGAAAATATATTATTTCGTTATATAGTATAATTGACGTAGTTATTTACGATAGAACTTTACGCTGAAGAACTTTGTGCTTATTCTACTACATCATGGGTATATCGTTAGAATAGTAATGTACATTCAGTGTAAAAGCTTTTCGTTATGACTAAATTAAACATAAAAAATGTCAATCAATCAAAATTTGTTTTGTCGCCTTCAAAGTAGTCTATTGCGAATGCAGTAAAAGTATATTAGCACTTAATCGAATTCTTTATAAATTTTTCATAGACTTAATCATGACCTTCAATACCAGCGATTTTTTGTCACCTCATAACGTCGTTTTAGAGGTAGAAATTTTAAATTTTGAACCAGAAAAAAGTTACTTCGTGGTAATACTTACTTGATATTCCATATTATTGAGTTTTTTTTTACAAAAAACTTGTTCAACGCGATATTTTGAATTATTTCGTATAATTATTTACATAGAATATATACTCTACTTTTAATATTTTATACAGTTCTTAAGAAACTTATATTTACACAAAAGAGAAACACAATTCTTGTGTCTCAAGAGCGGTGTATTTCATACAATCATACATTTTTATTACATTATATATTTCGGATACTTTGTACACAGAATCCATATCCTACAATCGTTGAGGTATCTTCCATCGCATTTTAATTAATACGAGTTTTGTATATTTTTAATTTTTTCCATTTCATCACTTATTTGGTTATATATATCAGAGCTGTCTTGACCATATGCGATCGGTGGCCAATACAAATCACTATACAGATTGGAGAGCCGCAGAAACAAATACATACGTTTATAGTTATTTACGACAAAAATAAAAATTCGGTTAAATGTTAAATTTAGTTTTATTAATTTATTAATATAACTTCACTTAGTTGGTATACTTTAAAAATAAAATAATGTAGTTTTAGCAGAACACCAAAAAAGAATTTGCGTAATTGTAGTAGATTAAAAACATGTCGCGGGCCGCACAAACATTAGCCGGGGGCTGTGCTTTGGACAGCCCTGATATACATTATCAATTTAAGCTTGAATAATGATTAGTTAATTGAAATTTTATAATTTCGCAGTCCTTCAGAATAAATGTCAATTTCTTTCGATTCATATTTAATTACGATATATGATTTCATTGATTAGGAAAAATCATTTCCTCATACTTTTGACGGTAAAATCTAGTAATAGGGATAAGATGAATCATATTAACATATATGAATATTATCAATTATTGGTCAATTTATAGAAACGAAACCTCAGTAATACCTAGTAGAAACAGAGAAGAGAAGCTGCGAATTGGAATTGTTATGTCAAAAAAAAAAAAATTATTAATAGCTTGCTCATAATAAATATGTTTACATCGCTTTCCGCTGATTACTGGAATGAAGTTACCTCAATGCTGGGGAAATCTTCTCCATTTATTCCTAAGAGGTGGTTTTAGTGGGTTCATGTCTCACTCTTAATAAATTTAAAATTGCTGTTCTAATTTAATACAGTTATCAGACATTTTAACTAAATTACTTATTTAACAGTTCCTTTCCAAATGATAAGAAATTTTAAATTTAATATTATATTTACGAAAATCAGCTGTATTTATTTGTTTGTTTGTTTTATTTGTTTCAGTTTCAGTAAAAACCAACAATATCCAGCAATTTATGTTTTCCACTAAACTTGTTTTATGTTCTCTTTTGCTGGTTATAACTGTTCGAAAACGGAAAATGAGTAAAAACCAGTAAAAACAAGCACAATTTAGTACTCACACTAGTTTTTGCAATGTGAACACACCTATTATCTATCAATATGGAAAGTACAAGGTTATAAACATGTTGTGAATATTATGAGGAGCATATTAATCTTCTTGCTGAATTATTTTTTGCGTGAGGCCACACCGTATGAATTTTGAGAGTTGAAAACTCGTATAAAGGAATTAATTCAGATGAACTTATAAATTCCATATTTCAAAAAAAAATATTAAATATATTAAATATATTCCATTTACTTGCTCTTAAAACACCAAACTTTGGGATTCATCACTTGATCAACGTGACACGGCACAGAAAGCATCGAAATTTTATATATTTCCCATATCTGTAATCTGATATATACAAATGGGTTAAAACCAAAATTTTTCATGATTTTCAGAGACACAAATTATGAATTGGTTATGAATCCAGTATTTCCTGGATATAAATTTTGAGACATCTTCGGGTACAGAGGACCGACTGGTGTTTACTTTAAAGTGCTTCAAAGAGAAGTTTACCGGTTGGTGCTACAAAAGCAACAACAATATGACAATATCGTATTAGTTTGTTATGCATTTTAAATATTAAGCAATTCTAATTAAGAAAGTATTAAAATATTATTAAAATATCTCATCAAAGTGAAGTGCAAGAATAATGTCATGAATGTATTTATGAGGTTTATTCTTAACATATATAGTATATGGGTATAGAGATAACTATTTTAAACAACTTTTTCAATTACGTCCGTGTAGAGTAGTTTTCGCGATATCGGTAGTTAAAATTGAATATTTTTACTTGTGAAGTAGCGTTCACATCAAAAAACTTTATTTGTACATACACTGTATTTTGCCTTAATGAAAAAAATTTATTTGGAAGCACAGTAAAAATTGTTAAATTTTAAAATTTAGCAAATGGCACTTATTGCACAAATCTTTTTCAGCGACCATCGTTTCCATATCTGCATATTCCGAGTAGTATTATATAGGTACATTATGTTATATATGATATATAACGTTAATAGCCGGCAGACGTCTAAAATACCATAGTTGTAAGCTTTATATACACAATAATTATTATAAATTTCTTGTAATACAACAAATTTAAAATGAGGAAGAAGAAGTATATCGTTAATATATTTGTTTCGTATTTATATGAAGGCAGTGCGAACACTATTTTTCATCAATTAATATGTTCCATACTTTGGTTTAAGCAACATTTAAGTTAAATGCAACGACATGAATTTACTGAGGATGATATCGAAATGGCTATACTCAATGGCAATAGACTGCTGTCATTAGACCAATACTTCTGTATAGCATTGCCATATGGTGGACAGCTCTTGATAAATCTTCGTACTGTACTATATTTAACAGGTTTCAGCGCAGGGCTGACCTCTGTATTAGTGGTGTTCTGTGTACAACACCATCTATGGCATTAGATCTAATGCTCCACTTAATGCCACTTGACATTATCAGTAAGCAGTTGGCAGTATCATCTGCCCTAAGACTTGAGGCTACTTCACAATGGAAGGCTAGTGACTATGGGCACGGCTCGATTCTAAATATTTTCAGTTCTACTCCAAATAACATTGACTACACCTCTCCGATTCTTGACTTTGATAGATTTGATTTGAATTTATTGTTAGATTGCCATCCAGGGAAGCTTGGTTATCAGGAGGTCCCTCCCTGGGTGAAGGTCTGCAAATTTTTACTGATGATTTAAAGACTGGGAGCGGCGTTGGTAGTGGAGTTTTCTTAGAGGAGCTGAATAAATCCTCCTGCTATAGGCTTCCGGATCACTGTAGTGTTTTTCAGGCAAAAGTAATTGCCATTAAGGAAGCTTTAGCTTGTCTTGAAGTAGGTAATATACTTGAAAGGAATATACATATACTATCGGATAGTTTAAAGTCCTTGAGCTCTGTCCAATTCACATTTATGACGATCCTTGACTGCTACACATCTCTAAATGAGATGCCGACGCAGTTCAATATTTCCCTAATCTGGGTTCCCGGTTATAGGGATATTTACGGCAATTGTAAAGCAGACGAGCTGGCCAGACGTGGTGCTTCAGGGAACCACTCGGAACACCTAAACAATCTGGGCATATCGTTGACATCATGCAAATTGATTTTGAGTTCTTCCTGTGCCGAACTTTTTAACAAAAGATGAGAAGACTCTGCGATATGCAGGCATCTGTATGCAATGTGGCCACAGACCAACAATAGAAAATCGAAATCTCTCTTAGAGATGTCCCGTAGAGATATCAGTCTAGTAGTAGGTTTACTAACAGGTCATGGTATTCTAGGTAATCATGCTAGGAGACTGAATTTACCGTTCAACCATTTTTGCCGCAGTTGTGGTGAGGATGACGAAAGTGCCTTTCACCTGCTTTCTTTCTGTCCAGCACATGCACGACGTCGCCTTAAATTTTTGGGGGCTTTCTTTTTTTCAGGATCTTGACGAACTTCGAGACCTCCCTCTATATAGCATTATAAGCTTTATTAAAGGTTCTGGATGGTTTTAGCCCATGGGTTCTAAATAATACGGTATCACAATGGACCTATAGGCCTAAGTGAATCCCCTTGGGATCGCCGGTATAACCTAACCTAACCTATATCGAAACATCGATTTAAATAAGTTTAGAATTTAAACTTATATAAATGAATAATTTTAAAAGAAGTTAGTAAATTAGAAATTTATTAATTTATTTTAAATTACTGTACTTATACTAAATTAAAAATATGTAATTTGATTTGTAACATTTTTATTAAGTCTTAAAGTATTCAAAAATAATGAATAAATAATTTCTTTCTCTTTAATGAATAATCAATAATTGCAATAGTAAAAGTAGAGTAATTTAAAATTGCTTGGTTATTTATCTATTTATTTCGGCGGCTTTGTTTTGATAAAAATATTATTGTTGATATGAAATTTTTAAAAATGTATGAATTGAATAATATTAACAGCATTATTTATTTTTGTGATATACACTGTTAAAAAATTTTTGTGATATAGCATATGTAGGTATTAGAGAAAATTACTATTAATTTAATTCATTACATATTACTACAATCATCACAATGCGGACAAACTATGCGACATCGATTAATTGCATTCATTACAGTCTACACTATTGGTAATGATATGTCGTGTGTCTTCGGTACTATGTTATATCATGGCTATGTAATAATAATGCATTCAGTAATATTAAGTGTAATGCAAGCAAATCACACTGAGACATTACCATTTTGATTAGATGTGATAAATAATTTTGATGAAAATATGTGACTTGTATCGTTGTTGGAAATGATAGTTCTGGTATCTCAATTGACGGCACGTTTTAGATACAATTTTCTTTACAAGAAAAAAAAATTCAAATAATCTTAACAAAGGAAACAGAAAGTTGAAAAATGATTCATTTTGCTTAATCAGAAAATTATGAATAATTAAGTATAAGAAATAATTCCAAGACCATTGTTGATTCCAAGACCAAAATTAAATTAATTTAAATAATTAAAAAAGAATTTTTATTGTTGCAGTTCACTATTTTTCGAAAGGTCTCTATTATTTGGAAAGTCATAATATGAGTGCTGAAAAAGTATATCACATGCTTTAGCGCAACCTCGATTCTGTAAGAGGCTTAACAAGGAGATTATATAGTACTCATGACAGGCAAATTAAATTAATCTTGAATCAAAAAAGTTATTTTAATAGACTAATAATTTGTACCACAATCTTGTGGACAAGTCAGGATTTTGATTAATCAATAGTCACACGACAGTTTTGCTTCGGCGATCAGCTGTTTGAAAGGAACAATCAACGAATGAAACTTTTCATATCGTGGTGGAAAAATGGTGTTGAAGCATAGGGCGCAATTCATATATTAAAAGTGCCGACAAAACAGATGGGAGTAAATGGGCTTCAAAACTGTTAGACATGCACAACAGTAAAGTCTGAATTAGTTGTTGTAGACGTAGCGTGCGTAAAAAGAGTAAACGGCAGAACGCGAAGCAAGTGATTAGTTATGACAGATTACACGTAACAAAAAGTATATAAAAACAAACACAAATTATATCACACATAAATAAATGCAATACAATTGCTTAATATTTGTAACAGCTGATATATGATTTTAATTGGTACTATGTTTTCCCACATTTTCTCTTCAATACAAATAATCGAATGTATTGTGGAAACAGTCAGCTGATTTTCTACAGCCTTCATTCGCCTTCACTCAATTCACATCAGCTGTTAATGAACTCGTGCCGTGTGTATAGTTTGAAAAATATAGTAGACATATTATTGAATTAACTGAATAAATATAACGTTTTAAAGTCATACGAAATTTATGTTTGTTGGCGTTCTGTTTTTAAAACACTTTTAAAATTCGACTTACGGGTATAGCTCAAAATATTCCGGCCATAGTCCTTCCCTATCCATATTTATTTCTTGTTCACTCACTTAAACAGATTTTTATAGCTATATTGGCAGAATTTTTAAATTGGGATTGAAATATTTTGACTTCACTTTATAATTTTCAATGTTTATATTATAAGGAAACCACAACCGACGTTTCAAATGCGAGTAACAGTTGAGATTAATGACATATGTACGTAGTTGCTCTGTTAGCCAACTTTTAACGCGGTAATCAGTTTGAATGCCGACGCCGAGGGCCACTGTGTGCAACTGACGAAATGATTTGTAAAGAATTGTTATTTGCTTATTCGAATTGAGTTCATTTCTTATAACTTTCTTATCAATAATGTAAAATCTTTTAATTAAAAATAAAAAAAGAAACGAAAAAGTTTTAATTTAATAAGTAAAACCAAGTACGAGAAGCAATACTTCCATTATCTTAATGAGCATAATGACGAATCGAAATTTATCCATATGCACTCATTAAGAAGTACATTAAAAAACAATATTTCATTGTGTTTGATTAATAATAGATAACGCAGAAAAAAAATTTATGATCAGAATTACTTTAAATAGTTTTTAATTATAACATAAATTTCATGTGTTAACATTTTCAATTTTCAAACAAAAACCAAGCAACACAGAATGATATGCACATTATCATATAATCTTGCGATATTATATGATAATGTGATTTAAACAGTTTAAGGGCCAATTCTAGAATGCACACTTAAGTGTTGACATTACTCGGAATATGTTTAGTGATATTTCTTTGAATTTGAAGTGATACAGTAGTGTGCAATATGAAACACTTAACGGTTACATTATAAAACTCATCGCAACTATGGTAATTTCAAATACCATAAGTTCATTTGAACTTACATTATTATAATGCAGTCAAACTTCCATAACTTGAAGTACCAGTTGGCAAAGGAAAGGTTTGACTTATGGAGACTTCGAGAATTTTTTGTAATTATATGTAATTTGCTCTCTAAACCCTGTTGCGCTCTTTTTAGTTCCAGTTATAGAAAGTTTGACTGTATATAATAATTATGTTTTAATCAGTTATTTTCAGGACCCAAAAAACCAAATATCTAAACTTTATATCACTTTGTTAATAAGCATAAAATACTGAATGCAGTCAAACTTTCATAATTCGAACTTCTATAACTCTAACTTTCTATAGCTGGAACTAACCTTTTTTTTTTGCAAAATGGTACTTTGGGTTATGAAAGTTTCAGGACCCATATATCTATATATCTATTCTATATATCTATATATCTATCTATATATCTATATATCTATTCATAAAAATGTATATGTTGCAAATTATGTAAAAGGATTATAACCCACTCACAACGCAATTTCGAGGTCTAGATTAAATCGGCTTTCATACTTTCATTGATTATTAGATTTGGTAATCTGGAATTAAAATGAAACATGATCATAAAGAAATACATTATTTTATTAGAACAAAGTGATTTGGAAGAAAAGGGCTTGTCATGTATCCATAATTTGAGTGGGCATAACAGAGACAAACAGAAATCAGCTTCTATAGCCAAGCGCATGACGTCAACAACCTGCACAGAATTCCAACTATAAAACCAAAATGAATGAATAGATTATAAAAACTTAGTTATTTAGACGTAAGAGTATTTTCCAAAAAAATTGTAGCAACCGATTTTAATAGTTTTTTTTAATCAATTAATATTTGAATTATAGTACTTAAAAGTAGTTACGGCACTCTGGGTCTGACTCGCTTAGCAGACAAGACCAGCAAAATCTTTATTCACTCATGAAGAACTCTCTTGGGCACGTCAAAATTCTGGAATTACTCGCATTTGGTGTTGATCTTGACTTGCAATATGCCGAGAAGTTTTTATCTGGTGGTGTCGAATATTAATTTTCTGGACAGACAAATTTTGAACATATGTCTATTCTGGGAACATTCCTAGCCACTTTGAAAACTATCTAATTATTGAATTAGACACATAATTTATACCTTATAACCACTTAAAAATCTTAAGAACAATTGAGATATTTAATTATCTGAAATGAAATTCAGATTATTAACCGAAAAACTGTTCTAAAATTTAAGTAGCGATAAATGTTTTTTACGTAATCATGTATGTGATTAAGTACTTGTAATAAAGTGCAATTTTAGTAAATAAATTATTGTATGTTCATATATAAAAACCAATATTTGTTTAATGAGACCTTAATGTTCTATTATCATTACACTTCACACGTCAAGTGGATTCACATATTTATCTTAACAGTGATCGTAGAAGGAATGTCGACAAATTGTTAAATACTCGTTAACGCCAATACAATGTTTACCCAAATCGCCAATTTAAAATCACTAAACAATTAATATTGGGTTGACATACTTTGGGTAGGTTTAAAAATGGGTGAAATCTTCAAGATTTTTAAGTATGTGGTATGAAGCGTGTACAGACTTCTTATTTACTCAAATTTTTAATCGAAATTGGATACACTGTACTTTTCGGTATTTTAATTTTCTCTGCGATGAGTCTCGTGTAGATACAGTGGCGGCGGTACGTGGTCATCGTTTTCAAGGTTTCTATTATTGCCTTGCAAACGGCTATATGTATTTTCATATAGAATTAAATAAAATTAATAATATAATTCATATAAACTTTTGACGTTTTGGCAAGCACGTTATGTCATTTGTAACGTCATCTAACAGAGCTAGTTAGGCTCTGTCGATTTATATTGGGTCACGATATTATATATTGATTTATATTGGGTCGGATTGCATCTGGTCTGGACAGCCCTATTCTAATTCATTTAAATGTTCCTACATTGGTAAAAATTTTTTATTTTTAAACAGTTCAGTTAAGAAAAACTAGCAACAGTTAATTTTACAATTTTAACTAATACAATTTAATTGAGTTTTTTTAAGAATGGTATTAAAAACGCCGTTGATTTTATGAACGCCTTGAAAGGTTTTCAAGTTTAAGCCACGATATTTCGAGAACAGAGTATAACATTACATACCAGAAATATACCATTTGGAGAATGCTACAAACAAAGGCGGTTTTCATAGAAATCAGTTGCCAAATTATGGCATTTGGTATATAATAATCAATCTTTTCTATCATTCTTGTTGGCAAGCATATGATTTGTTTTTACAAATAATCCTCTGATTCACAAACGCCAACAGAAAAAAAGACTAGCCCGGCAAGAATTTCAAAAGCTAAAAGGCAAAAAAAAAACGATGGGGCAATCATATGATTTGTTTTTTTACAATTAAAGAAAGAAAAAAGAAGGAAAGCGTAATAAAACGATTGGGCAAGCTTAAGATTTGTTTTTATGCAAACAGTTTTCTGCATCGGAAAGGCCGGTAGAATAGCCCAGTAAGAATTTCAAATAGTAAGAAGCAGCAAGAAATGATTTAGCAAGTGTGCGATTTGTTATACAAAATATGCCATTAACAGAAATAGCCCAGCAGGAATTTTAAATGGTAAAAAGTAATGGTAATAAATGTTTAACAATACATTTCAACATACATTGATTCAAGTATTTGTATTTAATAACTAAAATCTTGATAAAATTTTAAGATTTTATGTAGAAATTTTTTTTTGTTTGGTTCATTAAGGTAATGAAATAATCAATGTTTACTTTAAATTACTTTTAATAAAAAACAAAAAATCATTCAAAAACAGAACAGTTATAGTTGTATTTATTAAGAAAGGTCGCTGAGCAACCAAAAATTACCTAACAAAAAATATTTGAAATTGGTTCTACCAATTCAAATTAAACCAATTCATTGTCCTTCATAGAAAGTAGGACATTAAATTAATATAGTAAGAGAAGATAAAAATTAATAAAACAATAAAATAAGCGGCATTGACGTTTTAACATATGTACAGTCGGAGTCATAAGTCTACGAGCAGACAGTACAAAAACTTTGTTTGGAAATATTTTCTAAAAAAATCAATTTATTGAAAACATACTTTATTGTTTTTTTATAGCATTCAATTCACAATGTTTTTAGGAAGTTTAGTTGCACGTGTTCAAAAAAAAGCCGAGATAATTGTACTTTTATCGTAAAGAGTAGCAAAATAAGCGATTAAAAGTCTACATCCACTTGATTCAGATCGAATGTTTTAAGACACATTTATCTTTTTTAACTCAAGTGATTTCAATTAATATTGATTATATATCATATTTGCAAATTCGTTTAAACTTTAGGGAAATAATGTATACACCAGCGTTAAATAGTGCTGCATTAACGCACTTTTTCAACGTTTTGTGTTGCCCCACCTCTATATATGTAATACAGTGATATGTAGAAAGCAGTTTGAAATAATCGATTTTAATGAATAAATAGTGTGATTAGTAGATTTTGTAAAGGCATAACGACTTCTTAGGATTTTCGTACTCGTATGTAAAGAAAACTTTATTGTTGCTTAAAAAGTTCTAGGAAGATATCAGTATGGTTTATCATACAAGTGATATATGTAAATTTATATATTGAAATACATGTATAGGTAGAATTGCTGTATTTGGAAATGAAAAGAACATAGTATAAACATACAAAAAAATTCACCGGTTTCCGAATTCACTGCTATTTAACTAATATGTAGTTCGAATTTTCGGTAGTGATTTATAAATGACGGTGTAAATGACAATAAAGAATAATAATATATAAAGAAAACGTTTCAATAAATATAAATATTATTTATATAAAACGTTTCCACTATAAAGTATTTCTATTTCTTTAATTATATAAAGCAAAATATTACATTATATTGTGTTAGGGGAGATTATTATGGCTGGCACCAAAACAAGCGTTGATAGACTAACATTCATATTTTAATATATTTGCCTCTTTCAGTTTGATCAAGATCGAATGCTTTTAAGGTAAAAAATGGTGTATGAACGGGACTTGGAGACAAGTATGGCCTGAGTGTATCCAGGTAAATATGCCAGAAATTAATGAAGTGGCGAACATTTGTGCATATCTCGCTGAACATGCTAAAATATCAGAAGTTGGAATCAGTTATCAGTTGATGGAATGGAAGAAGATGACATTAAAGAGCTATTGGTGACAAACGAAAATGACCTTAAAAACAAGACGAAATACCTACCTCAGATAATGAAGCGCAAAAAGAAATCAAAAAAAAAAAATGTAAAGACTGCACAAATATCAAAATTCAACAAAAAATAGGTGATTTTTTTAAAAAGATTGACAGCCATTAAATCAGACACATACAAAAGGTAATTTGCTTGCATTATGTGCACATATGCAAGATTGGCTATTTGCTAAAACAAAATATTTAACAGATTGCAACAGTGATGCCAATGTCTCGCTTAGCGCCTATAGGCCAGCAACTTGCTGTTTTTCGCCACACTTTCGAGCTGCCGAAAGCACCTTATGTTAGTGTATAAATCTTAATTTTATACCAGATGACAAAATTAATTTTATGTGAAAAATTAAACACATACTCGTGTATATATACATTATGCACAGTTTTTAAATAGTTTATTGCATGTTGTGGTTTACAGAAAGTTTTAAAAATATATTCAAACCTAATGGTTTTAAGATTAGTGTTTTTCAAATATAATGCAATTATTTATATTTCCGTAGATTGACAAATTTTTCCATCGTTATCGTTATTTTGTAGTTAAAAAATGTTTGCATCAATTTTTATATTTTCATGGCATTCTCATAAATAGATAGATATTGTCTTCAAAAATAAAATTTGAATTTAGAATTTTCTCAAAGCACCCGATTTAAGAAAGAACGAAGGTACGCGACTAATTTTACTTTTATGTTGAGTCTTTATGAATTGTAAGACGTACGTATTTTTGTCGCAATTAGTCTTGCGAACAAACTTAAAACCGCATTGTGAAGTGCCTTTTATAAAAGATTTGATTCTTTCGTGAGGGAATTTTTCTTCTAAAATTAGCATAAATCCACCTACTTTTAGAAGCCTGTTCGCTTCTAGAATATGATACTTGTGATCATCTCCCGAAAGTGAACAATGGTATATTAGAACATCTTTGCTGAGGGGTTCATACGGTGTGTACCAATTCGCCAAATCTATTTTTCTGCATCGGAGTAGATTGCTTACTTCAAACCTTCTGAAACCTTCATTTTTCCTCAAGATTCTGCTTCCAAATGTAATTACGTTATACTCCTTTCCTAAGCCCAACAAAAATCTTGCCAGTTTGTCTTTTTCATCTGGGATATTACTTTCGGATGTACTTTCATTTAAAGCTGGGTTTTGCTTGGATTGGGTTTCACCAAAACAATTCTCTAACCATTTAACGCAGTTTAAAAAACTATTAACAAGAGAATCTTGAAGCTTGCCGAGAATTGGTTGTTGAGTAGAAACAACAGTTGCTGTGGAAGAAGTGTTTTCATCCACACTGAGACGCTCTTTTGTAGAAATACATCTACGGTTGGATCGAGCTGCTTTGCGATTTCCACGCTTTGGTTTAGCTTTGTTAGGAGCCATCTTCAACAATAATTAAGCTAATTTAATTATTAAATTAAAAAAATTGAATATTGAATTGAATTGAATTGTTACTCACGTTTAAAATTTTCTACTTCAAGATTTAATATACGCCGGAACAAAAATCTGAACCGTACGTTAGCAGAAAAATTTTTATATGACGTACATATCTAAACTATATATTTAACTAATTTAAAATAAAACTGAAAAAGAAATTTGACACTTCTAACTAATGTAGCTACGTTAATTTGATGCTCATCAGTAGAAAATAAAAACATTTTTAAAAAGCAGTATTGCCAATGTCATTAAAAAAGAAATTAATTTACATTAAGTTTTTGCATTTCGATTGAAATTGTCAATTACCAATAATAAGTTTATGTAAAAATAATTTGATATATAAAATACTAATATAAAATTAACTTTAATCGTGTACGTGAACTCAAGACCAAACCAACAATGATTTTTTTTTAAATTATTGTATAAAATTAAAGGTCTATTAATTTCCTTTATAAGTTCCTTGGCATTTCTTCCAACTATATATCATATCAACCTTGGTTACTACTACAGTTTTTGTAAGTATCGTACGAAAGTGAAAATTTTTGTCCTCTCAATTTCTTTAGTTTGAATTAGAAGAATTAACCATTAATCCTATTAATCCATTATATATTGTGTGCGTGTGAATGATGTTACGTAGATTTGTTGTAGACCAAAATGTCAAAAAATTCAAATTATGGTGTATATTTTGGTGTATTTTGCAAGGCGTTAGTTATCTATATATAGGTTGTCTCTGGTATGAAAGTCTTAATTCAAAGTTAAAATATACTAAAAATAGTGTAAATAAAGAAGCGAGTGGATGGAGGAAGTCTATCATGTTCTAGACGTAATTGATAAAAACAATTGGTGCCAAGAGAAATGTGTTCTACACATCCAATTAATATAAGTTCTTCGGGGGATATCATAAGGCTGTGATACCGCAAACGTCACCTATGCTTGCGACGCCACTGTATCGTATCATTGGCATTATAATGTTAATATCGTTTACAAACGGAAGTATTGCATTTATAATTCTTGAAAAGTGGTTTAAAAACATGGATTGGAATTAAAATTCTTGACATTGAAATGGATTAGAAGAGGCACAAGTAGAAAATTACATTGCTGGAAACTTAAGATATACTTATGTTTATCAGATAATCGGTTTGTAATCTAAATTTATGTTTGTTTTTGTTTTTTTTCATAATTTTTGACATTTGTAACTATGTTAATATAATTGTTATTAATATTATTTGTGATGTAGTTAAAAATTCCGAATATGTAATATGCAAATACAGTATTTACAATTTAATGTATTTATTTTATACTTTGTTGAATGAATGATTTTCTTACCAAAATAAATTCGTAGAGACACTGAATTAATATTTCCAAAACTCAAGAATCAATCTGAATGGATTGATTAATACAACAAATTTCTGGATTGTTTTATTCACATTAGGAGGATCCGTTTAAACGTGGAGATTTTGACAGTTAAGATTAAAGTCGTTTGGAACAGTTACAGGTTTAGATTTTTTTTTAAAAGTAAATAGGAAACAATGGCAGTGCTTTATTTTTTATATTACTTAATTTCCGTTTTCATATAATTTTTAACTAAATCAACTTTTATTTTTAATTATTGATTTCCGAAATCTCACAGCTGCTGTACGCGGTTCAATGGCAGAGTTGCCTGTCTTCGGTTCGGTTTGAATGACTTTCACTCTTTTGATTGTTTTGAATAGATTTACTCGATTTGTACTTTTGACAATCCATTACTTAAAAATTATCGTATAAAAGTTATATTAATTTTTAATTTATGCACATATATATGTTTAAAGATTATGAACCTTTTATTGTTGTAACTTTTGTTATTGTTGCTGAATTGTTACTAAGGTTGCGCTTTTGTTTTAACTTTTTTTTTCACAAGAAACTCTACGTGAGCACTTTTCACTTCCATGTACAAATATGGCATACTTTTGCAAAAAGTTAAAAGTTTATGTTCTGCTTACTTGAAAGTGTGACATTTACTTGTTCGCTAAAAAACAATAATGAGATGTCTGTAGAAGACGAATTCCTCTCTGTGTCTTCACTACGCAGGCTCTATTTTAACATTAACCCATAATACTATCGATTTAAACACGAGAATTCTGTAATATTAAGTAGGGGTACGCGTAATGTTAAATGTATGAAGGAGCATTCGTAGAAGAAGAACAATTTTCTGTGACATTGGCACAGTTAACCTTTGCACAATGCCTATGTGTACGCGCCCAAACTTTTAGATTAAGTTTAATATGAGCTCTACGTCTGTTTTATTATTCAAAGTTTAGTATTAGTCTGCAAGTGATGGAGGTACTGAACAGTAGGAGCTGCCATCGCTCTTACAAACGAACTCTGTTATATTTCATCGTAACCTTTCTAACATAACAGTAGCACATTTACTTGAAAAATGCTATTAAAAGGATAATGTTACCGTTCTCATTAACTTTGTTTAATGATTTATTGCACTTAACAGTCATAATGCCGAATATTGTGTGTGAGTATTTTCTGTTAATAAACGTAAAAGCCTTATAAAGAAGATGCGGTAATGTCTCACTTAGGTGCTAAATTATCAAACTCGCTATTTCAAATCTGAATATTATAAGTTTTATATTACATTATTTGTTATATACTTGCTATTAAACGATTAATTATTGACTGCTCTTTGACGATGTCAACTACAACTCTACTTAATATCTTGGCATTAGGTATTTTATATATATAATATTGACTTGTTATTGCCGGCATTTGAACTATGTTTTGCATTATACATGTATTAATATTCAAGAGATCTTCTTGAACAAAGAATATTCTACTAACTAACTAGTAAATACAAACTAAAATAAGTCTAACTTTTAATATATCGAATATTAGTGTTCTGTGAAAGTAATGTGTATTATATTTCCAACTTTATAACTTATAAAAATAATTATGTTGTAAAGAACTTTTGGTGATAATAACGCCACATCCATTAATAAGCACCCATTCAGGCTGCTTTCAATTATGACTTCCTAGCCGCTCTAATTTCTTGATATAAAATTTTTTCTCAAGATATTAGATTGTAAACTTATTACATTGTTTATTTACGAAACTTACATTATACAAGTAGTTGCACCATCTACCGCCAACTAAAACATAACATTTTCATATTGTATAGAAGGCATGCGCCATCTAGTTTTTATGTAAAAATTTGAAATTTCGAAGTCCCATAATTTGATAATAAATCTATTTTGATAAATACAGTAGTAATAAAAGTTTCTTCGAATAAAAACTTTTATAAAAAGGCGTTGTCAAATTACAGACTATCAAAAACCGAACTTATACCACCTGCTAAGTCTAGTTGTTTATAAAATAAAAAAATAATATTTTCATAGAAAATCAGCTGCTTTATGGTTGACCAACATTACGATAAAAGGATTATGTTTTTTTTTCTCTTTTTAGTAATTTTTACGTTTCTCTCTTGTTACTCAAAAATGTATAAATTTAGTTTATGTTAGAAGCTTTTAGATTTTCGACATATATATGTTGATTTATTGAGGCTCAGTTAGTCGGTAGGTACCGTAAGAACTTAAGTTAAAGCGAAATCCACAACCAATCATAACTGTATATTTCACTTTGGCTCAAGTTCGCTTAAGTTCTTACGATACGTACCGACTAACTGCGCCTTAATCGTTTCTGTGAATTAAGTGATAATAATTTGCAGATTGATCCAATTAAAAGAATCTCGTCTGGGTGTAAATCGTTAACTAAGTATGCAAAGTTCTTATAACACTTTGTTTTAAAAATTTCCTGTACTAGCTGTCTAGTATATCCTGTACATCGCAACTATTTTTTTTGTTTATATTATCAATGTCTCTTCTATGTCCCTAGAATCAAGCAAATGTGGTATATGTCCCGGCAGCTAAGTAATTAATATAAATAAATTAACAAATTTAACGACAGCTTATAAATAAATAAGAAAATTGCTGTTTATAAATTGTTGTCTATGCATCATCAAAATTTTTCTAGTCGCACTAGTGTCTATTAATGAAATAACGGTTTCAGTCGGAAATTACTTATATTGGACGTTTATCAAAGACTATGAAGCTATAGAAAGAGCACTGAGAGGTCAACTTATCGACAGTGAATTTTAACATCTAACCATTGATGTTAGAAACTAATAGTATATATTATATTATAGATATTATAACTTCAAACTTATTACTGTACCTATATATTAATTGCAGTTGTATCTGCTAATATATATAGGTAATATTAATCAAATTTGGTAACATTCACATTTTGGATAGGTCTCCCATTAACAACCAAACTGTCCCCAGAAAGAGGTCGTTCTCTTGAAGTTGAGCAAAAATATGAATCATCACTCGTATGTCAGCTATGAATTGATCACCTATATTTTTAATAATGAAAAAATAATTATGTTGGGGTAAGATATGAAGTTGCAAAACACGTGGAACTGCTGATATGCCATTGGCTTGTGAGCACCTATGTTGAAAAATCGGGTATATTTTTCAATCAAAAAAAGCTGCAAGAAAGAAAGGAAAAAAGAAAGAACTGAAAAATTTCGTTAATAGATGTTTATAAACTTAGAATCTTGGGTGGCATTCAAAATAAACAATTTTTTGATCAACTGCGAAAGTTGGTTTTAAAACTAAGATTTACATAACCGGGTTTTTGTTTTATTAGCATGGAGCTTATATGCTCAGAAGAAACAGAAGAAAAAGCTTACCGCAACTAAAACCAGATAACAAATGGCAAGTTATTATTATTGTTAGGGGATGTAGCACTGCGACCGTCGGGTCTATTGTGCTCCCTTCTGGGCTTAGAGTAGGTCTTTAAGCCCTGTTGAAATGGCAAGTTAATACGTATTGATATTGTAATGTAACTAATTTTCAGTTTTGACATTTGAATAAATGTCAAATAAAATTATTTGTTAAACTGTTAAATAAGACTCTATGCTCCCTCTTATCTGCTGTCTGAAAATATATTTCTGCAGGTTTGGAAAAGTAATAAATCGTAGTTACTCTTGAAATATGCTACATAAGGAAGGGCATTCGCATTGAAATTCCTTAGATATCACCGCAGCATATTTTCTCTAGATGAAATAGAAACGTTCTTC